GCGCTTTCGCCCCCCCTCCCGTACGTCCCCGCCGACGCCAGGCTCTGGGCGTCTGCGCGGTGGTGGCTGGTTAGGAGGGGGAGCGGAGCGGGGGTGGCACCTGCGCCTTGGGTCGGGGCGTGTGCGTGGAGAAACAAAAGGGGCTCTGAGGGTTCTCAGAGGGCCCTCGGAAATACATTGTTGGCATTTGGCGCCCCGTGTGGTTGGGAGGAATGCGTAGGGAAGGCAGTCCCCAGCTACCGTTCTGCATTAGCGGCCAGGCCTGCAGATGGAGCTTCTAAGACTCTGCTGCTTCTAAGACTGTGGTTTGCAGTGGGAGTCAAACACCTCAGGGGTCTTTTAATTCTTAAGTTTAATACATTTACTCCCCTGGCAGCTGTAGTGAGCTGGAAAGCACGCTGACCAATTCAGATAAGGGCTGTGAAGGAAAGGGGTGACATAGTAGACCTGACAAGCTCAGGGAGCTAGCGGCAGGCCTAGCAAGCTCATTGACAGAAAGTAACCACGCAGGATGGTCTGTTCATAAATTTTTAACTGGGCAGGTCATGGCAGGTAGTCAGGTCCTAGGCCTACAGCCTCCTCCGCAAAGGTCAGTCTTTACCATCAATAATTCCTATCCATTGTTCTTATGCATCTAGGATAACATACCCTTGAAATGTCAAAGTAATTTTTATTTTCTAGACCCCTTGAAGTCACAACCACCAGCACAAGACTATTAGAACAGGAGTACTCATTGTTACCTTGTTGCCCGTATACTATCTCTATTCACTGTAAAGGGTATATGTTGACTATCTTGTACCCAGCAATGTAAAAGAAGTATGTAACTCTCCATCTTACTTTCTATCCAATACCAGACACTTCCCTGCTTAGCTTTCTCCCTCCTTTCCATCTACCACCAATAGATTTCAGTGTAACTTTCCTTAAATTTCTCTCTCTTGATTTTAAACGTATAAAATAAGCTGCAAAACTGCCATTGTCCATAGCATTTTCTTAATCAGTTAAGAACTTGCTTCGAGGTGTGTCCTCACAATCTTGGCTCAGATAAAAAAAGCTTTCTACAATTTGAAGGTTCCTTCGTCAGCAGGGTTCAAAGCTTGGTTTCAGCACTCATTGATGGTTCAGCTTCATTTCTGAGTCTTAGTTTTCTCATTTGTAAAGTGGGGACAATAATATCTATTTAATGGGGCTGTTGTGGTGAGGATGAAATGTGGTGGGAGATTGGAACTTATGCAAGTGCCATTTTACAGGATATAAAGAGTCAAATTCCTATAATTTCAGTGGTTCGACCTAATACAGTTTACTCTTGAACGACATGGGGCTTAGGGGCACCCTCCCAATCAAAAATCCACATGTGACTTTTGACTCCCCCCAGAACTTAGCTATAGTCCCTTAGTATCCTCAGGAGATTGGTTCCAGAATCCTTCATGAATACCCAAATCTGAGGATGCTCAAGTCCCTTATATAAGAGGGTGTAGAACAATGCATACAGTCAGCCCTCTGCATCCAGATTCCCAACCATGAATCAGAAAAAATCCTGTTTTCCATCCAGGGTTGGCTGAATCTACAGATACAAAACTTGGGGATAGTGAGAGCCGACTGTGTACTTTTTGAAAAAAATCTACATATTAAGTGAACCCAAGCAGTTCAAACCCATGCAATTCAAACCCATGTGGTTTGAATTGACTGTAGATATAAAGTAACCAGCACTGTACCTGGGACTAGGAAGTATAGCAGGTCTTCAAATAACATTGTTTCATTACATGTCATTTCCTTATAACATTGATGAAAAAAAAATTTTTAACCTCTAGCCCAGCTACTGTCTGTGTGGAATTTGCAGGTTCTCTCCATGTCTGTGTAGGCTTTTTCTGGGGATTCCAGTTTCCTCTCACATCTTAAAGATGTGCATGTCAGGTGAACTGACCTGTGTCCCATCTGAGTGATATGGGTGGGTGTGAGTAGCCCTGCAATTGATGGGCACCTTATCCAGGGTGGGTCCTGCCTTGTGCCCTGAGATGCTGAAGAGGCTCCAGCTACCTGTGACCCTGAACTGGAATGAGCAGGTTGGAAAATAATTATCGTTTTTATTCATCTTTCTTAAATGTATGTATGGCTCACATTTATCAATGTTTAATATTAGAAGTGTTTATCAATGTTTAATATTATCAATGTTTAATATTAGAAGTTATTAAAGTGTAAATTCTTTATTTAGAATTTTGGTGATGTTTTGTGACCAGAAATCTGAGGAACTTAACTCTTGTTGACATCAATTAGCCTGTGGTGAAATTGGTTTCCTTTTACATCATTTCGATTAAAGTCCTAGGTTCCAAGAATATATGGATGATGTTACGTGAGAACTTACAGTAGTCCATTAATTCAAGTTGTAACTATGGTTATTATGGTTATTAACTTCAGAAATGGCCAGACCTCCTTTCATCTTTATCGTAAAAGGATGTCTTGGGCTCCTACATGCCCATCTTTTCCATCAGCACTGATGGGGAAAGGCTTATTTTGGATCTACTTTCCTTCCTCACTCCCTCTTTTTAGCTGGACACAGCACACTTATGGAAGACTTTGGCCCCGAGTAGTACAAACACATGTTATCTCTATCTCTCCTGAGCTGGCCTCAGTTGGAATTTTTCCAGTGACTTTTACATTTGGATAGCCTCAGCATTTCCTTTCTGACTCCCTCTTCTTTTTGATGCCCCTCTTCTCACTTTGCCACTTAGCCTGGGCCACCGAACAAATGAGAGACATAAAATAACAGAACTTATAGCCTTAGTCTCAAAGAATAGAAATTCAGAGTGGTTGGGGAAGGAGTTGGTTTTGCTCTCTAAAACAATGCACATGCAGGATCTTATAAGAGCTTTGAAGAGGCAGAGACCAGAAATGGCGAGACTGCTCTTTTGTTTCTGGAAGTTTCCCAGGCTCTTCCTGAGGCCCTCTGACCTTGGGGTCTATAAGTCACCTTTATCTACAATAAATTGTTCATGTTAACTAAACTCATACCCAATACAGAGTTATGACAATTCAGTCTCCTCAGCTGGGCCCTCAGTGCACTCAGCAGTCCTTCCATACTTCTGCCACCATCCCCCATTCTGCTTCATAGAGAAAATAAAGGCTATCAGGGAAACTCTCATTTTTCAACACTCTCCAAATATTTGAATCTCTCTTCCTCTTTCTTTCTCAGATGTAGAGAGGTCTCCCTTCAAATCCAAGATTAATCCTTTCACTGTGATATGCATTTCAATCCCTTTCCTCCTTCACTTATGCCTCTTCTTCATGGATATTAAACTTTTTTGTCTCCCCTACTCTTCGATCTCAGCATTTAAACTTGATCAATTAACCCCATCTTTTTAAAAATTCCAATTTCAATCCCACACACTACTGGCTATTGCACATTTTTTCTTGCCTTCAACCAAGCTTTTAGGGAGTAGTCTACACTCCCATCTCCACTTCTTTACTTCTCATTTATTCCTAGCGTCATCTGACCGCTCCTGAAAATCTCTACTGAAAATACTTTCACCAAAGTTACAAATGACTTCCAAAGTGCCAGATCCATTGGAAAATTTCAGCTTAACTTATTTTTGACCACTTGATGTCATTTGGTATTGTCGAGCACCCTGTCCCTGCATCCCTTTCCTCTGCTGGCTCCTATGGGCTACACTCTTCCATTTACTTCCTACACTCCATAGGTCTTCTTCACAGCATCCTTAATAGGCTCTTCGGTCATTCACTATTTAAGTTAAACAAAACAAAACAAAGCCAGTTCAGTCCACATTCATTTCTACCCTCATCACTCTTCCCAGTGACCTCATTAGCACCTACCTGAAGCAGACCTTGATAATTTGGGGATGTCCAGAATCTGAATCCCCTTTCTATGTTACAAGTTTTGGAGATAAGTAGAGCCCACCTTCCATGACAGACATCGAAATGGTTGGGTCTTCGCTTTCCTAGAGTTTTGGCAACTAAAACAGAAGTATGTGACCTAGGCCTGGCCAAGTAGCCACTAGAAATGTAGATTCTGGAGTAAATTATTCAGAAAAATAGAACCATGGATAATTCATCCTGGTAGCAATGGCAACAGTAGAGTCAGCTTTATCCCATGCTGGGGGGCTGTAGTGGTGTGGGTACTGGTCTGGTGACATCCAGTGTCTAGTGATGATGACAGTGGCAGTATTGTCATTGGGCTGGTCCTGGCATTTAATTTTGGTTTTGCTTTGGTGGATTGGCCTCCCGTTGTTCCTGCTTATTTTCCAAGCTGCATCTCCTGCAATCCCAGAGCCCTTTCAACAAATGGGTTTTCTGTTTAAATCAGCCTATGTGACACACTGACTGCAAGTGATCAGGACTCTCAAATCTCCATCTTTTGCCCCTTGTGTTTGAAGCTTCCTTTTGAATGAGTTGCCTTTTAGAAAACTCTACTCAAATGTCTCACAGGCAAACTCATATTCTCAATCTGCATTTCTTCCATGTTCCTAATGTAGTAAATAGCACCTATGACATGTTCAATATGAACCCTGGGAGGAAAGCATCTTGGACTTCTCCCATCCTCACTTAAATTGAACCGACTTCACCTCATAAACATCTTAAATTTTACCACTTAATACATCTTAAATAAATCTCTCCTTCATATTCCCATTCCTTCTCACCAGAACAATTGTTCTAGCCTCCTAACTAGATCACCTGTCTCAGTATCTAC